AAAAAAAAAAAAAAAAAAAAAACATATATACGTAAATGGCTGAATTACCCCTGTTGATGAGGAGGTGATATGGTCCATGGAATGCCCCATGATTGGGCTCACTAATGTGTAGCTGGGGCTGAAAATCTGGGGCTATTATCAGATGAAGAGTGCTCAGGAATCCAGAAAAGGAAACAGAAGTGGTCTTGGTCTTGTAGGGCCATTTGGAACATACTATCAGTGGAAGGTGTGGGGATAACCAGGCTAAATCCTGAGAAAGTATCAACTATAGTCAGGATCCAACAAAAATTGATCTACCTGTTAATAACATCTTTGCCCATTAATGTGGGAGACTGTCCCTGGGCAGTGTTTTAGCCTTAGCCAGAGTCTGGGAAACAGGACAGATGTTTCTCAAGTCTGAATCTCTGTTCACTTGTAGATCTAGGAGGTGATCAGTCATGGATCTGCTCTCTCTGGCATGGAAGGCATTTTAGTCTGTGTTTATGTATAAGCATGTGCAGTCTGTTAGCTGGTCTGTCTCCTTGGCAGGCGTCCTCAAACTATGGCCTGTGGGCCACATGCGGCCCTCTGAGGACATTTATCTGGCCCACTGGGTGTTTTTGCCACCGCTGCTTGTCCTTTTAAACTATAGTCTGGCCCTCCAATGGTCTGAGGGACAGTGAACTGGCCCCCTGTTTAAAAAGTTTGAGGACCCTGGTAGAACATCCATTTGGGGAACACAGAAGCTTATTAGGAGCAGAACTGACTTTTATTCAAATGTCTTGTTTCCACCGGGCCTTGTTTATATGACAGCCTTAGGCTTCCCAGTGGCTTGATCAAACAACTAGGGATATTAGCAATGCCCCTGAGTCAGGAGGTTCACAATCTTCCCTGTGCCACTCTGTGAGGCCTAACTGCACCAGTGCCCTTCAGGGCATGGGGCAAAGGCTGGTGGGGGGCAGATGTTCCTACCTTAAGTAATGTGTCATAGTGACAGCTCTGTAGAGTCTACACTGTAGAGTCTGGTTTTTGTTTTTTGAGACAGGGTCTCACTTTGTGGCCCTTGGTAGAGTGCTGTGACATCATAGCTCAAGGCAACCTCGAACTCTTAGGCTGAAGCAATCCTCTTGTCTCAGCCTCCCTATAGCTGGGATTACAACCGCCTGCCGCATGCCCACTATTTTTTAGAGATGGGGTCTCACTCTCTTATTCAAGCTGGTCTTGAACCCCTGAACTCAGGCAATCCACCCACCTCAGCCTTCCAAAGTGCAATTTGGCAAGGGGACAGCTGCTTGGTGAGGCTATAAGGTTCAGCCTTTTTGATTGTCTAAGGTTGGGCCTGAAAACTCACATAGAGGTTTTTAAGTAGGGACTGACTTCTTCATATGAATTTTAAAA